GACATCTGCAGAGAAAGACTGCTTCTATGGGTGTAACTGTGCTGTCCAGCTTAGAAACAGGATGTGGAATGTACCATCTTCATACAACCCACAGATGGATGCGGCTCAGGCACATAAAGTCACTGACTAAGTTTCTGGTTTGAGATATTTGAGGACTCACATGAATAAACCTGCACTTAACTCTTTCTACCTTGAACACTGCAGAAACTGTTATTAAACACAACACTTCTTAAATGTTGCTGTTTACAGTCATAAAAGTAGATGCAGTACGTGGCAGAGTAGCAATTCAGAATGTTTTTATTTTATTTTGTTTTCAGAAATGCTTCAAATAAAACCACCTTTTTCTAGCTCGTTTTACATCACACATCATGCAGTTTAAAACATATAACAATAGTATCAAAAAGGTATTATTACAGTTTCTGTTAGGCAGTGTGATCTTTAAAAAATGAGGAAAATGTATACATTTTTGTCTGATTGACAAGCTTCCTTTTTCATCATGGCAATGATCCCAAACATACTGTCAAAGCAGTAAGAACATACCTGGATGGAAAAACACACAGAATGAAACACTTTGTGTGCTATCCCTAAATCATTGCACCTTTTTCCCACTTTCAAAGCTAAATATAAAGAAATGAGAATGGCTCAAGACTTTTGCACAGTACTGTACACCTAGAAGGTTCACTCTAGACTTAAACATAAGTGCTTCTGAAATTAATAGTAAATTTAACTCACAAAAAGTAGCTGTCGACCTTGTGTTATGTTTGTTATGTATTAATTTAGCATTGTAAATTATTTATAGTTTCCTCCCACTTATGTCGGTTCATTGTTGGTTCAAAAGCATTTTGATGGAGGATGTCTATTTCAGTGTGTTTATAAAATAAATGTGATTTGTTTTAGCTTTCTTTTTTAAATATAACCCTTTTACTCAGTATAAGATGTGGTCTTTGTGCTGCATGTTCATTCACTTTTAATAGCGGTGACTCTGTTTGTTGTTGCTATTTGCTCATGTGGTAGTTTTATTGAAAGTGTTGGCTTTGGTTTTTTATTATTTCAAGGTCATGATAACTCTGCTACGCCACTAAAAAGTATTTGCCATCTCAGTCTGTTTGTGCTGTGTTTAAAGTATATTTGTATGTATATAATAAATAGCTTCACAAATCAAGCTTCTTGGTTTGTCAAATGACTCCAAGAAAAAAGCATAACATTTTCTCTGCTGGCAGGAATACAAAGTTTATGTAGAAACCATATCAGATGTGAAAGAAAAATCCTGATGTGAAAAACTGGGGTTAAAGCCTGGTCAGCTTGGGGGAATAAAAACATACCTGGTTATGTTTGTAAGCGCGTGGTCTGGGTTTTTTTTTTTAAAAAGGCTAAGGTTAGACGGTATGGCAAAATAAAAGAAAATTTGAAACCACCTGAAAGCTATTTATTCTATCATTTCTAAAACTGGCTCATGGGAACATTTTAACTCTTGAAAGCCCAATGATCCACTGGAGTCACTGGGTGAAAATTCCTATTTTAACACTAAGTCAACTAAGGAAGTACTTGCTTTACTTGTTGGGACATTTCTACACTGCTTCAGCCTCACACTTGTTGAGTCTCAAGTTGCATACATTTTTTTTGTTTCAGTCTGGCTGAGTAGCTGACTGTGTGAAGTATGAACAGTAGACCCGAGTGCAGACAGAACGTAGAACGTAATTGAGTCAACAAAAAAACGAGCCGTTTAATATGGCTGATGGAAAAATACAAAGTAATGCATATGTCAATCAAAGACGAGAACAAACAATAACCTAAACTGGGGAAACTAAAAATAAAACATGAAAAACCCTAAACATGAAACTTGGCGTGGATACAAAGATACCTGACATGACATAGACATGGCGCAAAAGACAACAGACGCCCTGACATTAAACAAAGGAGGACAGAGGACTTAAATACACAGAAAGATAAAGAGAGGATTGGGAACAGGTGGGCCCCCAGCTGGGACAAATCAGACCTAACGAGACAAGGGGAATCAAAACAAGACACACTGCACACAGGAAAGTGCTCTAGCACTTGTGTATTTATACACAAGCACTCATATATATTCAAATAATTTAAAAAAACGTTCATTTACCTGTTACTACCACACACCAAATTCGGTCGTTGGTACTTGCTGGCTTGTGTAGCCTCTAGGTAACAAAAGCTCAGCACTGTGCCCAGCATCCTGGAGCACTTTTGTTGTGTTTTGTTCGTGTTTTGGAGTTTTTACGTGTTTTTTAGTTTGTACGTGCTTCGGAGTTTGTATGTGTTTTGGAGTTTTTACGTGTTTTGTCTGTTGGGGCCACCGTAAATATACTTTTATTTATTCACTCCACATAAAATGTAATAAATAAATCATATAATACAAAAACCAACTGGTCACAGTTCAACTTTTAACTAAACCTGCAAACCACAACACAATTAAATATAAATTAAAATATGAAAACAAAAAGAAGATGCACATTCTCTGTCATGAATAAACTTTCTGAATCCTTTATCATCCGCAACTGAAAATACTGTAGTTGTGGATGATTACTATACCTTTCTAATGTGACGTTGTTGTCCCTGGCTCTCTTTCTCTCTTTCCCTCCCGCTCTCTTCCTGTGCTACTGCGAGTGTAACTACCGCCTCTGATGGGTTTAGATTTTATTATTGTCGTTTGTATTAAGAAATATTTAACCATATATGCTTAGAGGTGTATAATCGATTGTGTAGTGATTGGATGTGTGATCTTTAGTAGTCTGCAACTTTGTGTGCATTCCAGAGTGTTCTGGCATTCACACCCACATCCTAGGAGCATGGGGAGAGGTCTTACCTTCTCTTATTGTTTTGTGGTAGGATAAACGTATCTATATCTGTTTTAGTCTAAGTGCCTTTTGTTTAGATGAACTGCTGGACTTCCAGACCAGCAGGTTTAGGGAAGTCTTTATGTGGTCACACACTGACCCCACACACACTTACACAACGCACAGGCAAGGTACTCAATGTTTGTATGTCGAAGTCATATGTTAAGGAACCTATGTATATCCATGTAACCTCAATAAAAGAACAGTGTTACGGGGGAGCGGATGAGAGCGACTGGGGTCAAGCGAAGGGACGGAGTTTGTCCAGTTCTCTCCTGTGCACGAGAAACATGAAGAACTTTGCCTACTCGTGTCTTGCTTTGCTGTGTAATTAAATTGTCCTTAACGTTCCAGCGAATAGGTTTAAGCTACAAACCTATCAGCCGCTCCCCCCTCTTCCCAGTGCAAAGCACAAGGCTCGCGTGCGGAGTGAAGCAGAAAAAAAGTGCAAGAGAGAGGGTGAGAGAAGGAAAAAAAATCCCACAGCTCGCGATAAGGAGCCGGCTCGCGTCGTTCATGTCAAAGATCCGGCTCTAAGAGCCGTTTCATTCGCGACCGACACATCACTATGTTCCAGTTTGTATGCTGCTAATGTTACCACTGCTATTTTTGCTAATATGGTATTACCACCTTTGCAAACACTGCTACATCTGTGGCTGCTCGCGTCACAGTTAGCCTGCTCTAGCATTAACATGTTGCTGTGGAGTCACTAGATGTAAACAGTTTTCCATACTGGCACTGATATTGTGTCAAAGGTTAATAAAGAGCAACAAATGAGTCCAAAAACAATAGAAGTCGAAACTTCCGAGGAGTGGATGGTTAGTACATGAACAAAATATCTCTTTCATTAATACGTGAGAAAGACTTTCCATCAGTGGTACTCAAACCATAAAATATGGTTTAATTTTCAGAGCTGGAAAGACGTGCACTCTTAAATCAGCCATAAAAAGAAACTTTATTGGCCGCAGTTCTTTTACTTTAAAAATGAAACCCCACAAGCCTCACGGTTCAACTAAAATTACAGAGGGAACACGGCACTGTACATTTCTGTGTTTCCCATTTCCACCACTAGCACTTATCTTCTCCATTGACCAGTTAATTTCAGGGGCAAACTAATCAGCAAATGCCGATGGAAATTTACATGATACATTAAAGAGAGCTCCAGCACTGATGGTGGAATTTTTCGGGCTGATTTTTTATTCATGATATGGACTCTTTTAGATGCTGGACAGCCTCACATTTGGATGGGATTGCTGCCGCTGCTGCAGGGAGTCCAATAAAAGTAATTCATTTGACATTTACAAAAAGCAGCGCGCGTGTCAAAAGGCATCCATCATGGTAATACTCGCAGAACACTTAACAGACCTCAAAACAGCTCCGCTTGGGTTAATGGTGCCAAATCAATATGGCTGATTCAGTCCTTTCCATAAACAGGGTTTGTTTTTATTAACCCTGAGCAGTGCTGGAGGAAAGGTTGAATCATAAAGAACATGATCTAATATTTGTGTGTGTTTTCATGGTGCTCACTGGACAGGACAGGAGAACATGGTGTACCATGTGTGTATACCCAGAGAGGCCACACAGCCAAGGTGCAGGGACACAATACAACAACTGTTAGGAAATAAATGCATCCCGTATTTCAGATTGACCTGGGGTAAAGCTAAATTGTTATTTTCCTCTGTGCTAATCTAGCTTCTCTCTCATACTATATTTAAGTAAAAAATAAAATATATACAGCATGTATAACGTCTGCCTATGAACAAACTGAAGAAATGGGAAAAATTCTGTTCAGTCCATTATTTCAATATTTCATCTCAGAATCTCAGTTCTTTTCTCCTGCTTTTTGTGTAACTGGGAAAATAATCTCTCTGTTTGGGGCCGAATACTTTTGCAAGCCACTGTATTTGACCTGCCCGGTCACCATGCCACCATTTTTCTTTGTAGTTTCTGGTGTTCATATCATTATGAATCCCTCCTAGTATGGCTGTAGCTTTGATTTGTTGGTCAAACATCACTTTGAAGCTGATGGACAGTCACTTGTAGACATTACGAGTTCAGTTGCCTAGAGGAGGCTC